ATTTGTCTTAATATTGAGTTTATGTCTGGTATTAGTCAATAGTTGAGCCAATTGTCGCGTTTGTCTTAATCTATCCAATTGTTGCATCAATTGTTGGTTTTGTTTTTCATATTCTTCTAAAATAATTTGCTTTTTTGCCAATTCTTTGCATTTTGAAAGAACCAGTTTCTGGAGGACAACACTCTTGTGATTGAGTTTGTTTGGGCTGTGATTTGCATTATTATGTGCTTTACTTTCAAACTTATTAACAATATTCACATCTCTTTTGTCCACATTTACAGCATTATTCTTATGACAAATTTGTTGACCATTTAATGCATTTTCGGTTTTAATTAACTCTTTATTCCGTTTTCTGTTGTCATTTGAAATTTTTGATATGAATACAACTTTTAGTTTAAGTTCAGTCTTAACACAATTTAACTCTTTTTGAATGTTTTTAACGCGATTTTCAGCCAAATCTCTCTTAAAAGATAAGTCAAACGAATGTGTTTTCATTTGCATTTTTTCCTTATTTAGTTCTGAGATCTGTTTTTGAAGTTTTTTCAATTCATTGCAATTAGTTTTATCTTTTTGTTCCAATATTATCAGTTGATTGTGTGACCACTTTTATTATGTGCAACAAATACAACAAATACATAAAATTATATCAAAAGTTTTAAATATAATACAGTATTACAGAATAATACAATATCTACAATATATGAATAGTTAAATATACTGTAGTTGGAGACAGGTATGACTGTTCACAACAAGTATAAGAATCTCTTGAAAGGGAAAATGTTGCAATTCAACTGATCCGATGGCAGTGTTGTAGTGGTAATCACAACAATGAGGAGTTATATTACTGTATCAAAACCAATGACCACAAACAACAAAGTTATGAACAAATCTTCAAATATTCGTCTAGTTATTCGACATAACATTTTAGTGGGCAATTTATTATATATGAAATCGACATAAAGTTTGACGTTCATTAATAATATTAAATTAGATTTAAATTGAATTGATATTTTTTGAGATATTCTATTTAGAAATATTAAAATTTAATGATCTCGAAAGATATTTAATATAGGATATTTTAAATGTCATAATTGAAAGCAGCGCTAAATTCTACATAAAGTTTACATAAAAATGATATAAAATATACATGTAACATTTTTGGCCGACAGACAAATACACATTTAACATTATTGTTAATCAAAAACTTTCTTGAGATTCTTACACTTGTTGTTACCAGACTTACCTGTGAAGGTGTCTCCAACTGTATGTTGTGTGACATTTTGTGAACGCAAATTTTAAATTTACCTGTAATTGTGTTTTAAGTTTTTTCACGTCTTCCAAGCTTTCAGTTAAAGATAACGTTTGCAACAAATTTTTAATTTCTGTTTCATTGAATTGAGACATTTTTATAAATGTTATACATTATAAATGTGGTCAAATGAAAAGTCCAAACGGACAGTAAAGTTATGATTGCAGTTACGGTAGTCAATGGAGACCAGGAAATGAACCAATTATGCAAAACATGTAAAATCAGGAAATTTAATTTCCGTTCAAAATGTGTAATTTTATATAAACTTTATTTATCACAGAATTTTAAAAACATTATTCGTTAACAAATGAGTATTATTTGTAATAATAAAACAATTTTATATAATTTAATATATATTTGATGAGGTTAATTAATTAATAAATAAAATAATTAATAAAATCTTTAAAATTAATATATTTGACAAATGTTTATGGTTTGAGGCATTGATTGTGTTGTCGTTCACTACAAACATAAATACGAATTAATATTGTATTAACTTTAGTAAATAGTTTAGAGAAAACTTACAACTTTTGCAGGGCTTGTAAAAAGTTGAAACGGATTGAATGCCAGTTCTCGTCGATCGCTTAACAGTTCCCAAATTGATTAGATTACTGAACTCAAGTTGCAGTTTCTGTGCTTCTGATCCTATAATCGACAAAAGCATTACAAACAATACATTGTAAACGCAATGCAATGGTTGATGGACTGCAAACTATACAAACCATAAAAGTTGATCGACAACTGAACGCATTCATTATTGGAGATATCTTTGGTGTAGTGGATATCGGGCACAACCAACCAATCAGTAGTATTGAGCAAAGTTCTCATATGAGACATGAATTTGGCGGTAGTGAAGGCCGGGTTCTTACGGACGGCAACACTGCTTACAAGATGTATGTCTGGTTTGATGTTAGCGCAGCCCAAAGGTATGACATCGCCATTGCTTTTGAATATAATGAGCGAACGGCCCATCACTGAGTAGTTGCCAGAGAGCGGCAAATTCACGTCCGATATAACACTTCTCTCACTTCCAACTGATAGAAAGCCGTGTCGACCGCTCAGGTCTCCCATTGCACACCGAAGTGGGTTCGCAGGATTGCAATCCCTTTTGTATATCTCAATGTCATCTTTGCTTAGATAAGGATTCCAACGATAGCCCGCAGCCAAACACCGGACAGAATCTATTAGATTAAAACCGTCCTCTCCTACAGAACTGACAAAAACGGCCCAATTATGACCTGTAGTTATGTTGCGATTGTTAAGTCCGGGATATTTCAGATCAATATCAAGCCATGTGTCGCTCAGACTTCCATCAGTGTATTCAAATTGGCGAAACCGAATGTAACCGGAGATGAGATGTCGCGGGTCATCGAAAGAGGCCAACGCCACCGTTTCCCGCGCCCTATCTTTCTTCTCCTCGGCTCTAATTGTTCCGCAAACCCAACGAAAGTTTTTCTCTTTTTTGTGGATTACAATGGATCGGCCGATCACTGTATTGTGCCCTCGAAGGCCCAAATTGACATCAATTAAATCAATTCTCTGTTTGTGTTTGTCATCGAGAAGACCAAACTTGCCACTCAGATCTCCCATTTCGTACTCATCTACGGAACCAATTTGGGGAAATGGTCCGACAGACACATCCACAGCAAATGGATTGTAGTGTCCATAGACTGCATCACTAGAACAGGGAAATTCTTTGTCCATTGGAACCCAAACCTACCAAAAATGTCAATTGGATTTTTAATAATTACTGTCACTCATAGTCTATAAGCAATTCTGTGGACTAATCAATGGTGTCAAATAGAAATCAACTAAAACCCAATACTCGATACGATAAGTGTGTATTCGTTAAAGTGTATAGAATCTAGAACTTAAGATTGTACTATAGATCATGAGGGTTCAAATTGTACAAGCACAATGTTAAACTTGCATAGAGAGTGCACCTATTTGTACACCTAAAACCCTGATGGTATAGAAAATATATAAATACTTTGTGAATGTGATATCCAGAAGCCAGGCCATGAAGTCCGTGAAGATCTAACTTAATATTGGTTTCATCGTATGGGCTCTCCTGATGCAAAACCACTGAACCCGATATATTGGACGTAATGCCAGAACTGGTTCTCCAATTCCTAACAGCGGCTGTCATTGAGTGTAGAATTCGAATGACAGCACATCCGAGTCTATCGCCTCTTTGTTGGGGACCCGAGTCGTCGTGTATTACAAGAGACCGACCAATAATAGAGTGCTAAACATATTCACAAATTAATATATTTTATTCACGATATACTGCATGAAAATTATAACAAACCAATTGAGGCCCAGATAGTGGTAAAAGTGTGTCCGTATAGAAGAGTTTATTATTAGCACTTCCTCTATAAGAAGCAATCGTTAATTTCTTATTAGATTTTGAAGACAGATCTCCAACTTCGCAGCGAAACTGGTTTTCATTACTGCATAAAGTATTATAAGTCCTGCCGAGTCCCACATTAAATGGATTAAAGTGTTGACCGGCGCTCTCACACCGTTTACTCCAGTTATAAAAGTCTCTGTTGTGTTCATTAATATGGATGTGCCAGTTATGACCCGTTGTAGTGTTTACGCTGCCGTCTGAATAACTTAGTTCTGCTAATACTGTTGTTTCGGACAATGGATTATCTTTGAGTTGACGAAAAACAACAGTTCCTACAATTGGATAGAAGAAAGTGGTCACAGCTGTAGTAATAGGACCGGGATATCCAATGTTGGCACAGATCCAACGCTCGCCTGAGCCTCTATGGATGACAACAGAACGGCCCACAATAGAATTGATCCCAAAAAGTGGTAAATTTAAATCAACAAAAACACCCCAAAACTTCTCCATATCCTGTTCTTCACTTAAAGGACCGTATTTTCCACTCAGATCTCCCACTTCGTACTCATCACTAGTTCCTACACCCGCTTCGGGGCCCGATTTGCTGTCGGTTCCAAATGGGTTGTGATGTCCGCCAACCGATTGAGCGGAACAGAGCTGATCATCACTTTTCTGATGGATAGGTAGTGGAAGTTCATGGATGTGATACCACTTTCCTCTTCCCCGTAAATTACTCAATGAAATGGTGACAACCGTTGGATCCGTTCGATAACTCTGACTAAAATGAATTGAACCCTTCACTCCATCCATAGAGAAGATGGCCTTCACTTCTCGAGCTTCTATTAGTTCCACTTTCGCACAACTCATGACACGTTTGGCACTACTTTTGTCATATATTGATACATATATTCCACGACTGGACTCGAGTGTTGTGAGAGGAAAATTAAGATCAATAGATATCTTCTTTGAATATCTGTTATTATTAGAGCCAATGACAGCCATTCCGTGCTTTCGAGTCAAGTCTCCAATTTTGCACATTTGGTGTTCAGTTGCGGAGCAATGAATGTCTTCCACATTGTTTGGGTCCAAAACTGTCTGCAAATACTCGCACTTTCGGTCACGTTTTGTATCAAAGATATCGGTTACCAAAACTTTCCATTCATTCCTTGAGGTGGACTTATATTCATTGCCAGTATTATAAAGATTAGTAAATATTAAAGTCTCTCCTCTTTGGTTCTCTCTGAACAGAACGGTTCCGGCGATAGTGTCTGTGAATGTGGCCAAAGCAGTCTTCACGGCTTCGGTGGTAAAGATGTTAGAACAGGCTCTGTGTTCACTATTACTCGTGTCCCTCAAAGTGACAGACTTTCCCCAAATACTAGACATTCCGTGAAGTGAAACATCAGAATCGGAGAAGACTTGCACTTTATTATCGATGGGCGGGATCTGAATGGGTCCGTGTCTTCGAGACATGTCGTGCTCTGATTTACCCAATTCTGTGGCAAAACATGCATTTTTCGTATCATAAAAGACGGGATATTCATTGATAGTCCATTCAAACTGACGAGGAATTGAAGTAGAAGTGGAAGTGGTTGTCAAATAAATGGCAATATTAACAATTCCTGATTGCCTTTCTTGGATAAAAGTTATATTTCCTCGAATACCACCAGAATTGAAGGGCACATAAAGTTCAACACTAGTTATCACTGAAATCATAAACAATTTAATACCTATATTACTGAACATAGTAGACATTTGATGATTCAATGATGAACAACATTTGTTAGTTCATTACATACATTGTATATTAAATGTTAATGATTAGTAATTAATAATTATAAATTATTTTAAAGTTTAAACCATATAAAAGTTACTATTTATTTTCAATTACATTAACAAGCTCGTCAAAAGTGTGGTTGTCTCAATTCACAGAATGTAACCAAACTCAATCTCGGCTATATGTTTAAGTGAGCACTCAATTTCAATGCTGCTTATAATCAATTGTACACATAAATGTCATCTTGTTAACATTCTGTAAATGTTAACTTCCCTATAATTTTACATTTTGATACAAAAATTGTCTAATGTGTAAAAACGAGTATTTAAGTAATTAATTTGTCGATTTAAACTACTGTAATTAAATAACTAATCTCAAATATCACATATAATCAGCTTATGAACATGTTAATCAATTTTGGAAACCAATTAAATAATAAAATCAATCAATTCTATATTTTCATATCTTGTAATTTGACAACTAGAATATTAATACTTTACATTACTGTATGCTATGAATAATGTTATGATAAATAATGTCTATTCGAAAGTAATTCTACAATCACAATCAAAAGTACTGGAATGTAAAGAAATCTAAATATGATTGATTCAAATATTAATTGTTATAATTATATTTAGAATAGAAGGAAATAATTGACGTTCAATACATAATTAATAAGTTATCAATAATAACAGTAACAGTTGTCAGTAAAATCGTGTCAAATGAAGTTGTGATAAAAATATACTAATAAAAACTTTGACTTACATTTGATTTGAGTGAACATTAAATACAAAAGAAATGTAATAATATTAATATGAATTGCCATTGTTTTTAAAGAATATAACAATTGGTGTAATAATGAATGGAAATCAGTTGTAAAATGGAAGATATAATACACTAAATTAAAAATTATAGATTTTAATTCTTTACATGATTTAAATTAATAAAAACACACGCTTTGCATATCTATAGAAACTTGAAGTAGATTTATGTGATTTGCGACAAACTTGTGATTTACGAATAGATGAATGAAATGACAAGTTTTGTATTGGATTTAATGCAAGTGAAAGAATGGTTGCATTCACTCATTCACTCACTTTTGAGGAGTACTTAATAGTGATTTGGGATATAAATCGTCATTCAATGCAATGCTCATTCAAAACCGGTTATTTTGCAAACATTTTATAAATAGTGCCAAATATTGTTGTCTACTCTAATATTATTGTAATACTCGACACAATCGGTCCATTTATCAAAAACTATAGTGTAGTACAAAATAACTGTACTGTCATTTAATTAAGAACTGACAACGAGTGATGGGTCACTTTGTTATACTTTATAATTGAGCCAACAGTTAACGTTTGCAAACTTTGCATACATGTATGAATGAGTAGGAGATTATGTGAAATGAATTTAATCAAACTTATTATATTGTATACAAAATAATAGATTAATATTCTGTAAGAAGTGATGAAATGAAAAATACTTTTAATAAATGAGTAAAATTATAAAAAATGAAAACAAAATAATTAATTAAATCTCTCTATTTCTCAGAGATCTAGCGCTTCGGTCCAAATGTTGTAGACTTCGAGCAATCTCTTCGTCATTAGCGGTGTCTTCGAGTAATTTTTGTTTGTTTTGTTCAAACATTTTGTCGTCATTTACTAATTGTTGAATGAGTCGTTGAGTTGCCTCTTCTTCGGCAGCGATTCTCATTTTTTCCTAATAATAAAAATATAATTTAATAATCAAAATGTTTAACAAAATACCTTTTTTGCAATTTCTTCAAATTCTTTGCGTATCTCCCCTTCAGAGGAGATAACTCTGTCAACTGGTCTGTAGTTATCAAAGATTTGGCTTTCGATGTGATCACT